GGCCGAGCCACGGCCAGGCCTGAGGCCCAAGCGCTGAGCCGAGTATAGCCGAAAGGCCTCCCGAATACGGTGCCGGGCGCGCCAGCGAAAGATATTTGAATAACTCTAAGTTATTGCAATAACTCCTACTTACTGTTACAACTTATTATTGTAGTTCCAGAAACTGAACCCTACTGCAGAAACTACTTTTTCTAGTATCTATTCAAGTTTGAAACGCAACTCCACCTGTCGGACAAGTGAAACGAGCCCTTTCCCTGTTGTTGTAATACTTTATTTATTTAATTTATTTACTTAAATGCGGCTGTCGGACAAATAACTTGTCGGACAAACGGGGCGTCCCCGAATGAAACTAAAAATAAGCACTCACACATTTGACTTAATACAAGGAAAACTTTGGTATGAAAAAAAAGACAATAAAAGGGTAATATACATACAAAGGTAGTCAGTCTATAGAAGATACGCCAGTGGTTAGACTCAGAAGACAAAAATGAAGTACGCAAGACAAATACTCCACAGAGAAAAGCACAGAACACGAAGTTATGGCCATCACAGGTAGCTCTAGTCTAACAGGTATTTTTGTAATTGAAAGTAAAAAAGTAAACAGGCAACAGAAAATATCTGTTGTGTGATGTTTAAATTTAGAACACTGATGATACAGTTAACAAGAACTTGCAGAGCCCCAATCACAAAATTTATGTCTGTTCTTGGTAGTCTACAACTATGTAAAGTTATAATTATTTTGACCGACTAAAAGATTTAACGGAGAGCTAACAGATAACAATTTTTAAATGGTGGCTACTACATTATTTTAAGTGAGTTTCAGTGTTTGACATAGGAACCACTGATTGACTTGAAGATTTACTTTGCAGAGAAGTATTTAGTTGTGAGCATGGTGGCCCAAACAACTTTCACTGGAACAAAAATAATTTTGTCTTAAAAGACAGCTAAAACAAGTACATAACAAGTATAAAAGATTAATTCTGAGCCGATTTGATAAAGTTATTAAAAAATACTAAGGCTTCTCTAAAATTTAAGTGTGTCATAATCATACTGACTGGATCTATTCAATCTTTTAAAAACTAGATAGAAACTAGTAAAAATGTCTTACAGTGTGATGTATTAGTTTGTCATAAACATTAGTTGTCACAATGAAAACTCCTATGGAAGATTTACAATGAATGAGATTCACTTGAGTTTGTTAACTAGATATAAACTAAATTAAAATAATCACAAATTAAAAGAAAGAAAAAAAGAGATTGGTCAGCCATAAATGTACTTGATCCTTAAGCAGACATTTAAAACTGCTACAGTTGTAAACTCTTCAACCAGATGCCATAAGCAAATATAAAACATGACCTGCACATATGGCACACATCTGCCAGAGCAGTGCAAGTGAAAACTGAAAAAAACTTAGGTACTTTGTGAACTATTTAAGAACACAATTTTACCAAACAAACATATTACAACACAACAACAACAGCAACAAACAAGTGTGTTAATATCAACTAATAAAACTAATGGCAGGAGAGGAAACAAAACTGGAAATTGAAAATTTATAGGAATAATAGCACTATAAATCATACTTACAGAACTACAACAATTCTATGTAAATGTTTATGAGCTGATATAAACATATGTATTTTTCCATACTAAGAAATCATATAATAACTTTACCAGTTAATGTATCCCTTTAATAGAAAAAGGAATCACTATAGCTACAAACTTAGCTACCATTAAACATTTCAGATCAGTCTCTTCAAGAAAATTTCTCAGGGGAAAATGTCTTTGTAAACACAAGAAAGCTGCGTCCAGACAAAAGGGGCACTGGAGTCGCTTGGGTCTCTGAGCTTGCGCAGAGGCCGAGTTTTGGTTCTCTGCGCAGACTCAGACTCACAGCAACCCAAACGACTCAAGCGACCCTCTTGTCTGGACGCAGCTAAAGTGTCTACATCACTCTCTCACTTTCTCTCACTTTCTCTCATTTTCTCAAATGTTATTTCTTAGTTGAAACTTTTTTGTTGAACATATTGACTGGTGTGCTACAAAAGGCTTAATAGCTGCAGCCAATTTGTTAAAGAGAGTGATATTTCTTTCTCCATACCTTGTTACACAAACATACACAGACTCATTCAGACACTTGAAAAGTGTCTGCTGACTTGGCCCACATACCCCAGAGCATCACAACCTCATAAAGTTGGTTAATCAATAGTACAAAATACAGTACGTAACATGCTTGAGCTTATGGCTAAAAGAGACACAGTACAAGGGAGTTAAACAAAAAATGCAGTAACATTGAAAACAAGCACTCCACAGTGTACATAAAGCAAACATTCTGAGTCTTTATAATTTAGACAAGCTGTCTGATTTAAACACAATACAACATAAGAAACGAGACAATAAACTATAGATTCTACATAATATTTCTAAGTTCATAAATGTGATACATACTATCCTTCATAAGAGGAATGTTTCAAAACTACAGGAATATTTTACTTAAAATTTGCTAGTACATTGACAAAAGTCAAAATAAAGCTCTGCTGATGGAAGCAGATACTAGGTAGAACATGGCAAAATAAAGGTCTTCCTATAGGCAAGAAACAGATTGGCACAATTTGTACAACATTAAAGAGTAAAAAATTACCATCAACAGAAATTTGTTTAAAAAAAAATTAAAACTTTTCTGTTTACAAGCTTAAAAGTTGCTTACAGGGTTACATAGAACTAGATATCATAGAAAAGTGTAGTTCACTTTGTATAAAGATTACAAAAACACACTTCAAAAATTTGTATAATTCTTTCTAACAATTTGAATGCACCGGTATAAGAATGTATTCGATATAAACCATAAAAATTACTAGGAAAAGAACGACCAATTGGCAAATTTTGTTGAACAGCTTGCATAGTTTCTTTATAAGATTCAAGAGCTTTGTATCACAGAAATAGGCAACGTGCCTTTGTCAAGCAGTATCTGATGAGATATACTAACTTAAATGCAAATGAAAATTAAACCCCATAAAAGATTGTCATAATAATCACTTTTTAAACAGATGATACAAAGTTCTTTGCAGAGGAAGATGATGTTGATTTTGAAGCTGTGGTACTAGTAGCACTGCGAGAAGTGTTTTCTTTAGCTTCAAATAATGCAGCCATGTCTCGAATGCAGTAAGACGGTGATTTTATGGGAGAACGTTGAGAAGAATTACTTTCTACTGAGGCTCTCCGTTTGATGTCCCCACTAGAACTCAGTGAGCTGAAAAATAAATATCCAGGACATGAATTTGTACCGGCAAACTAGAACTATAATATTACAGAAAGGGAAAAAATACATGGACAAATAACTTACATGGGAAAGTTGGAATCGGGTGAAGAAACTTTATTTCCAGCAGACATCCTTCTCTCAGAAGAAGCTACAGGCAATGATGAACGCTGTACAAGAACCAGTTGTGCAGGTCTTCTCTCAACATGAGCCAAGTCCACAGAAACAGGTATGCGTGTTTTTTCGGGGAATTTCCTCTCTGGAGAACCTTTACTGACTGGAATTTTTTCAGGAGAAAATCCAAACTTTTTATGTTCAGTTCTTGGTGAGTTGGGACTGAGAGGTGACTCACATCCCTTAAGGGAAACTTTATCTGGAGTAACAATCCTTTGACGCACTGTTACACAGGTGATGGGTTCAGGACTTGTTGGAGATGCAACAGTTCTCCCAGATTTAGTTTTGCTAGTTGACTTAACAGGGGAACTATCTTTTGAAGATATTTTCTCAACAGGTAATCTTTCTGATGTGTTGCTCTTCTGTTGCCTAATGTTGTCCAAATCCATAGTAATATCTTTGGGCATGTCCACAGGGGACACACCAGGCAAACCTCCTTTACAAACAGCTTTCTGCTTTAATCGAGCTAAGGTGTCATCCTGCTCATTGCGAAAACTTTCAGATCGATACTTTTTTCTCAAAAAACTTCTCCTTTCTTCCTTGTATCGTTCAATACGTTCTCTTCTCTGTGGGTCATCGTCCTGTGAAAAAATAGCAGACTCGTTTTCAACTGCTTTTGATACTGAAGAGCTGTTAGTCAGTTCATTTTCTTCAACAGAACGATTTTCAGTATTTACATCTGGTTCAGTCTGAGTACGAATAAGTGCCCTCCCTTCACCCTTACTTCCTCCTGATAGAAGAAAGTGATCTTCATCTAATGATGCACTTAGATTAGTAGAGGTGTTCAGTTTGGTGCGTGCTATGCGTGCTGCACGAGCTCTCAGGCAAGGTGGTAATGTTGCAGATGTTATATCTATTTTCTCAGATGGCTTAGGGTGAGGGTCTGATTTACGAGACGAAAGAGGTAAAGGTGAAGTTGGTGCCAAACCAGATGACTCTAAATCCATTTGAGTCAACTCAAAGCGAGATAAAAGTTCTTTAACACTTGATTTGTTTCCTTGATCAGGTTTGTGTGCTGGAGATCCATGAGGAGAAGTCTTGGTTGCTCTTACCTCTTGCAACTCTTGAGTCATGCGTCTCTCTCGAACAAGCTCACGACCTATTTCGGACTCAAATCGTCTACGGCTCTCTGTTGCAACATTTAGAGCATCAGGCAATGAGGAGTCTGGAAGAGGACTTTCAAGAACTGGACTTGCCTGAGATGAGGCACAGTCACTGGCTGAAGTCAGACTTTCTCCAAGGTTAGCTGCTTTATCACAATGAATTGGAAACTCAGAGGCTTCTGCTGGTTCTTGTAAAGAAGCAACCCCTGGAGGGAGAGTTGGGAACACACATGCTTCCAGTGTTTTTTGAGGTGAAACGCTGTCATGAGATGGAAGCACAGAGGGTGGAAATGGTTTGACAGGGGGCAAATTATTCTCACTGTCACAAGAAGTGAATAAAAGATCCACATTCTGAACACTCTCATTGTCAGAGCATTTTTCCTGTGCAGCCATCTCAATTTCATCTTCAGCTGGTTCAAATGCTTGTACCTCAGGAAACTGGTTACTATTAGATACATTGGTGACAGTATCAAGTTCATAACAAGTATCAATAGGAGAACAGTCAAAGTGAGTTTCAGGGCATTTTTCCTGCATCGCCACTACTTTACTTTCATTTTCTACCTCTCCATAGGAACTAAAATTGTGTTTGAGAGCTTCTCCAGCTTGGGTTATTTGATCTGCTTCTACCTCATTCTCGGGCATCAAAGATTCTTCAGCATTGCTACTATCTTCTAACAACGCATTAACCTCATGTATAGAACGCCTTAGATACTTTACTTGTTGGTAAACTACATTTGGATCCAGCGGTGCTGTTTTCAGTTGTTTTACATCAAATAGAGGCGCCTCATGGCCAGAATTTTGGAGAATATCACTATCCACAATAGAATTTTCAAAAGCAAAATCTTCATAAACATCATCCTCTGCTCTACAACCCGGATGAAGTGCTTGAGAAACACTTGGCACATTTTGATAAACATTTTGGTTGTGAACAGGCAAAGTTGGTGCTGACTGTTCAGAGTAAACATTTACAGATACTTCATTGATTTGGTCCGTATCACACGGCTCTATCATCATAGTGCCTGAATCAGCATCCTCTGCATGTGTTTCATTTCCTGACATGATTTCTGTATATATGTGTTCAAAGCCAGCATTGAGATCCAAGGAGAAATTGTCTTGGCTTATTTCAAGGGTGTCCTCATCTCCACTTGATTCCAAGTGCCTGACAGCTGTTGTTCCAGCACTCAGTGAAGGACTACTGCTTGCAGGAGGACTTGAGGCTTGGTTTAAATCACTGTTAATAATAAACTCTCTTTGTAAATTTTCATAAGGTGACTTAGTACAATGCTGGTCTTTCAATTCTATCTCATTCACTTTAGAAGCATTCAATTCAGCAGCAAGAAACTCTCTTTGAACATTTTCATATGGGGTACGAGGAGTTTGAAAGCGAGGTTTAGGAACAGGAATGTTGTCGTAACTTCTGAAGTCTTGGCTAGGCGATGGGGTTGCAATAAGTTGCTCATATTTGGGCTCTAAAGGACTGAGTTTTGATGCAGAAGTCATCACATTTTCATAATCTGGTGTTGAGCCCACACCACTTCCACTGGATTCTCCATCTTCTCTCAAAGGCCGATATAGCTGGACTGGGGTGTCCGGGGTTGTTAGTCCAGAACTTAATAAAGTTACACTTTCAGTGTCAGAGGTTGGGGCTTCAGCTAGAGATGAACTTGTACTTGCTAGAACTCCATAGGTTCCATTGCTACTTGCACTTGAGTTTGTTGCGTTATTGCTTTGATGGACTTCAGCATGAACCAGAACCTGTTGTTGTGCTGGAATTTGTTCAGGTGATTGACTATCAATGTAACGAAGCTCTGCGGAGGAGTTAGTGAGTTGCTCTTCAAGTCGTGATCTTTTACAGGAGTCTAAAATATTAGCTGTGTAATCACAATTTGAATTTCCACTGGTCTTTTGCTTTTTAGGTGAAGGATCAAGTGAAGCACATCCACCACTCAACGTATCTTCAGGTCGAGCAAGATGAGGAACACCATGAGGGGTTAGCCTCTTACCAACCTAGTAAAGAAAGAATACATTACTGTTGGTAAATATGAATAATGAATGAGGTGATAATAATAGGTAACAGACAGAGGAACATACCCCAACTGAGTTTCTAGCATGACGGTCACGAGGAATAACATTTGAGTTGTGTGTGTGTGGTGATCCTTGAGACATAACACTTGCGCTATCAAATGTTGATAAAAGTGTCTCATCCTCAGAAAAAATGCGCATCTCTGATTCTTCCAGTTCAAAGTTTAATTGGATTTCACTCAGATCCAAAGATGAAGAGAAACCTGGATGGATTTAAAATTAGCCATTACATAGTTCTTTGATTAACCAACAATTCACTAGAAGAATAGAGATAAGATTATCAATACCTTCCTCCTCATGCAAGCGAGATGATGCTCGGCGGGACATGGAGGGAGTTTCCGCAAGATGATCAAAATATGAATCATGAGAAACAGATCTGTTATGTCCTGCTTTAGGCTGTGATTGACCATCTGAAGGACTCACAGCTTGACTGCCAGGATGACTTCCTCCACCTGGAGTCAAGCAACTCTGTCCCACAGCATCTGATCCATGACTCAAAGCAGTGGAATTGCGGCTAGAATTATTGCCTGAGGCTAAGCTTTCTGCACTCTTTACAGGTCTCAATCGCCTGCGTCCTGGAGCAACATCAGCTTCAGTGACAGCTTTCTCAGTGCAGAAATTAATAGCTGAGGGAGTTGAGGTTTTACGCTGAGGCTTCAGTTGCTGCTGCTGCTGTTGAGCCTTGCGGCTTGAATGAGTGCTACCCCCACTGCTACTTCTTCCAGCTTTGCTGAAAAATGATTTCCAACCAAGAGGAGAACGCTTTGAGCCAGACCGCTTCCTACTTGGCAGATCAATAACTGTGTGATATTTTGCTGGTAAGCTAGATGGCCCTCCACCAACTTCAATGTAGTCTTGGTCTGTTTTCCCTGCTGCTGACAGCAGAGCTCGGGTTCGGGCTTCTTCCAATGATAGAAGCTTTGTTGGTGTTGATATGGCCAAAGATTTGGGACGAGACCGCTTTGGAGTTGCTGAAATAATTTAACAGAAAATAAGTTAAGTAGGTTGACTACAACCATTTCCAACACAAATGAAGGAGAAACACAATACCTTGTTGCATAGGAATACTTAATGGAGGAAGCCTGTCACAGAAGATTAAATCTGCATAACAAATTAAGAATTCTGTGACAACCGCTTGGACTCCAACTCCTTGTAATGCAGCAACGCCACCAACTTCCAGAGCTTTGCAACGCAGCAGGTTTGGAGCCCAAACTATAGCTACATTTCTTGGAGTCATTCCTGTTTGGTGGCCATGCTCTGCCACACGAGCCAGATGCTTTACTAAATATTGTAAAGTTCTAGAAAATAAAATAAAAAATACAATAAGTAAGGGAAAACAAAACTAATCACTAGAGAAAAACAACGAATTATACCTATAATGAGGGGGTGGAAGCTTCTGAACAGCATCTCGCATTAGCATTAGTCTTGTGCCATCTCTATTTTCATCTGGACCATCACGAGTTAATCCATCTTTATTCTGAACAGCTCCAACAAATTGATGATATAACTGATAAGTGCAAAGAGGGTTGGGCAGTTCTCTAAAATACATCTTAAGAAGAGAGGCAACAGAGTGGATATCTTGAAGAATGGCCTCATCTTCATACAATCCTGGAACTCTATCTTCATCAAAGGCATTTCGTAGTTTTTGAATGTTTGATGTAACGCCTGAGAGACGATATATTCCATCCACAATACCATGGGTTTCAATAAACTCAGAGCAGCACTTGAGAACCATAGGGATATCATGCCCTGAGTTAAGCAAGTGTTCTCCCAAATCACATCCAAAGACCCTCTCCTTTAAAATTCCAGATTGTTTAAGACGCCTTCGTGATGGGCGTGATAAAATAAATGATCTGAAGAATGAAATAAGCTTTCCATGCTTTCGTAGAACAGGTTTACTAGGTTGACATGCCAACATCATCTGAAAAATCACAGAAAAGTCAAATTAATTTTCTGGAGTGGTTCACAGCAACTCAGACAAGTTAAATCTAAAAGTTATAAATGGAGAAACAAGTAAAACTAATACTCACATCTCTTGGGGAGTTTGGGGCACTGGATCCAGCAGACAACTGAAGATTTCTTGGGACTTTGTCTCCTATAAGAGCCACACAGTCTGAAGGAAAAAAGCCAACTTCGAAGCCTCGTTTGCCACGCCACCACACACTTTCTTCTGGTGGTGGCATATCAATGACTGAGATCATGTCACCAACTTCAAAGGAAATTTCATCCTGAGCCTGAGCTGAATATCTCTTGACGGAGTAGGCAGCGGCCACTGCGGGCGTGTTGATAGGGCATGAGTCATTATCGGGCACTAGCAGACGCCTACCGCGGTTGTCGAGTTCAAACCAACTCAAAACCGGCCCACAGTTGATCAGATTGCCAGCAATCAAAGAAAAACGGTTGAGGTAGTCAGCTAAAATATTTTGAACAGCCTCCTGCAACATAAATAAAAATTTATCAGCAACAGAAAATAAATCTAGATTTTTTCATTCATGAAAGTATGAGTTAATGAGTACCTCATGGTCTTGTCCTGTTGGAATGGATAAGTTGTCTTCTGGTGGTAGTTCAGGCAGAGCTGAGAATTTTCTGTCATATATGCAACGGTGTAGTTGTGTGTCAAGAGATCTGAAATTTTGGTACGTTCTTCGCAAAAGCCAGCTTTTGCCTTGAGAAGCGACCTGCACAGCAAACGACTGATTTTCTACATCATCACCATGCAGTCTGCTCCCCAAGCTCAAATCCTGGTCGCTGATGACAGTGATCTTTAAAAAAATTAAGAAAACACACAAAGTTGTCAGTGCAAGTACTTTTAAGTATTAACACAAGTTCGAGTGCCAGCACGGAAAAAAAGATTCGCTGTACACCTAGACAAAAGCAAATTGGGAATAACTCATTATATAGCAAATGTTCAGCTATGGAGCTAATTATTATTTAGCTAAACACAGAATTTTTAGCCGCAGATAGCCAACTTTTTGAGAAATAGCACATCACTTAGCAATTGGTTTAGCTATACAGCGTATCAATTTTTTTCGGAAGTGCTTCACTGGTGGGACGTACCTGCAGCGTCCCCAGCTCGACATGCTCGTAGTGGAAGTGGGCGCACTCGTCCAGCTTGGGGAAGCGCGGCGACCTCCCCTCCGACCGGGCGGCCGCGATGACTGGCGGCGAGTGCGAGCCCACCTTGCCCAGGGCGCCCGTCAGGGCCGCGTGCTGCGTGTGGTGCACGCGGATGCTGCTGCGAGAGCTGTCCATGTCGGCAGCCTCACCGGGCACCTTCTGCTGCAACACAACGACAAACATTATTAGTGAATAAGGTCATACACCAAAAGAGTGAGGGGGACAAAAACACGATTGCATGCACATGCGCCCTTATATGTCAGTCAAAAAGAAATAAGCAGCACAAAATAAAACAAACAAAACAATCGGCCAAATAGAAAACGTCGTAAAATGAAAACTGCATTTGTGAGCAGTTTCTGAAAGTCCTTGGCGCGTTTGCAGCAGGCTCGAATGAATGGCGCCGGACACCCACTCGAGACGCGCACTGACAATGCAGTCATGACAAAAGAGGTGCCATAACGATCGGAAAGCAAACGGCAGTTGCAGTCGTAGAACATAATGGCAGCAATGACAGCACGAAGAAAAGTGACAAAGATACAAATGTGTGAACTGGGCTCATGAGGTTCTATATTGCAGGTCCTTGCGAAATGCTTCAATGTAAAAGAGCGATAAGAAACAAAAACATAAAAATAAAAGTAAAGGACGAGGCCAAGGATAACAACATACGTAGTCCTGCTAACTACTACAAGACTTGAAGTCATCAGCCAAAGAAGTAGAATTTCACGATTTCTAAGCGACTACAGAAACAGAAAACTTAAGGACAGAGTGAAAGTAAATTGACGGGCGCAGAGAGGCAAGAAAGGCACCGACATCACCTCATCAACGGAAGCATCAGCATCTGAACAGCAAGAAAAAGAAAACAGAAAACTAAGGAATCCCTAAGGGCTCGGGCCGGACTAACCACGCAAGTGCAGTTCCAGTCCAAGCCCAAGCTGGCCTGGCAGCCGCTGAGGACGCGTCGCATACCGCCACCGCCGCACCGCGCAGCGCCACGCCCGGCCTCGGCCCGCAGCGCTACAACACACCACCACACATGCACTGTGCATCGCATTGCGTCGAAACGCAACAAGTGAGCGCGGCGCGAGGACGGCTTCCTCTCCTCCCGCGGACGCCCCGAAGACGCCTTCCTTTCCTCCAATGATCACCACGAGGAGGACGGCTTCCTTCCCTCCCGCGCGCGCGCCGAGGACGACGAGGAGAGGACGCCGCTGCGCTGTGGACGCCAAGCGCAAGGGCTTGGGGGCGATGACCCGACTGCAGCCAGCCGGCCTGCCCGTGTCGTCGTTGTCATTTTCTTATTTTTATTCAAGAGAGCTCCGTGCAAGTAGTGCGGCGCGCGGTCAGATCAAACCACACCTTACCGGCCGCGCCCCGCGTCCCGCCCGCCTCGCCGGGCTCTTGCGCTCCGGCCGGCCGGCCTCGACAGGGAAGGCCCCTTGTTCCCGACCCCGACCCCGCCCCAGACCTCATCAATAATACACCGTGAAAAAAACTACGTGACATATGAGTCTTACTCGAGTTTAGTGAGTGAGGAGGGCTGCTCCGGCACATTTGTTTTATAACTAACGACTATACCAGGTAGCGTATTCGCCGAGTTGAACCAGTAGTTTCCGGATCATACACGGTGACCGCCAAACTAACAAGTGACTCCACCGCACCCACCGCATACCTTTCGTTCAGCACTCAACTTGAATCGATATCGAGACTTATATGAAATCGCGGGATAAAAGTGAAAGCCTTCTTGTCTTTTCAATTAACCTGTAGACAAGTAGAGATATACCCGTGCTAATTATTATTTGTTTTTGTTCCTCCTGCTTGGTGTCACGCCGTTTGAGTGGGCCCCTCTTTGACTTGCTGCGACTGGAGCGCGCTCCAGCGCGTGGCAGGCTCGGACTGGCCCAGAGGGCTGCCGGGCAATCGCCCGGTAGGCCCTCCTCCTAGCGAGGCCCTCCGCCTCGCGAAGCGAGGCCCTCTTAGCCTGGCGTAGCGAGGCCCTGACTCTGGTACATGGTTGCTACGTGTCTGGAAGACCTTAAAAAACCAGGGAAATTAAAAAACGGTCAGGGAAATCAGGGAAAGCTCAGGAAAAACGAAAAAAGTCAGGGAAATTTGTTCCGATCGGTCCTCACAACCCATTCTATTCGCTGTGTAGGTCAAAAACACATTTTGACGTCCCAGCAGGGTGATTCCTTAACAAAATTTTCGCGCCCGCTACGCTCGCGGTCTTGTTTTCCAGTCAGGCTACAAGCTCC